CTCTTTCCTTCATGTTAACTTGAAAGGTGATTAGTGTTAAATCACTGTTTTAAACTGCATTTTGATTTATTACTCTTAGATATTTGGTGAACAAATGTTTCTTCTTTTGTTTACTGCCTGGGATAACATCCTGAGTCCTTCTTGCCCAGGCCTTTGTTTGTTTTGTTGTTCCTGCTAAGAAGTTCTTTATCAATGTATCAACCCTTTGTCCTGCATTACAAATATTTCCCCAGGGTGTTGTTTACCTTCTCATTACGTTCATGAAGGCAGCTGGAGTTGTCCAGGCAGAGTAAAGGATAAGAGAGCTGCACAGAACCTCAAACATATGCAGAGGTCCCTCCTGAATCAGCACTGAATCACAGGCTTTTCAGGAACCTATACAAGCCTGAGGAATGAACCACCCAAAAGGTTTGAAGGGAACAATACCCAGGCTCAAACAATTCCTGTTTCTGGTCATTAGAGTGGAAAACTCCGTAACTCATGAGAAATTACTCAAAAGGATCTGGTCTCACCTTCCAAAGCTAAAAAGCAAGACCTGAAAGGATCAAATTATTTCAAAGTAACTTAACAAAAGAACAAAGCTCAAAAATATTGATAAGAATTGAAAAAGACCCAGCACCCAATATTTGGCATGCAAACTAACATCACCAAGTATGCAAAGAAGCAAGATAGTAAGATCCATAATGAGGAGAAAAATCAATCAATTCAAAATGACTCAGAAATAACTGAGATGTTAGAATTAGTAGATAAGGACAAAAGAATGGTGTGTATTACTATATTCTGTATGTTCAAGAAATTAAAGGATAAAGAGAATATGTTAAATAGACATGGAATATATTTAATTCCATGTAATACATATTTGTCTAGATATAAAAACTAAAATGAAGCAGGAGGAAACTTCTGAGGATGACGGATATATTCGTTATCTTTCTTGTAGAAATGGCTTCATGAGTACAGATACATGTTAAAACTTATCAAATTGTAAACTTTAAATATGTACAGTTTATAATAGTCAATGATACCTCAATAAAACTGTTGACAGAGAGAACGTACACTGTCCTGGAGCCCCACACTTCTTCTGTGAAATGGATTTGCCTATCATAAGACTATAGTTCAAAGGATGTCTCAATTTGAGACATCCAGGGCTAAATGTATTACCAATTAGAGTACTTACTGCTCTAATGGCAGGGATGCTATAAGAGAATATTGGGATAAATTTTTTTCTTTATCATGGCTGTTATTAGAGATCCTACAGAGTTTAGCATTAAGTTGCCTTAATTTTATCTTTGTTTCTTGATAAAATTTTAGCAGGACACTGTTAGTCATATGACTTTGTACTACAAATCTGAAATAGCTTTCACAAAGTCAGAACCTTACTTCTTGAGGCAAATAAGAACCAAGAGTCTTAACTACATTTCATTCATAATCTGTAGCTAATTTTTAATCCTATTACTATGTGAATTATCTTTTAAACATATAACTATGAAACAACTATATCCTTAAGTTTACTTTTATTATTTCTGGGATACATTTATCCAAACAAGTCAATAAAAAGATTTTATAAAAATAAATTTTATTAACAGACACATTTAGGAATACATGTACTTGATATATAATACACATACTTGAAATCTAGGCTATTTTTGAACCTGTTAGAATGCTTAAATTTTAACTTATATGAACTATAATCAACCAACATAATCTAATCCCATTCTATGCTTTAAACTTTATCTCATTCTTTTTCCATGTTTACTCTAGATGTCTGCCAATAGAAAAATAAAAAGTTAAAGTCTAATTATAGTTGAATTTGAATCTTTCTGTGAAGCTATTTAAGCTTAAGCATGCAATTCAACATCAATGGCACTTAAAGTATAAAATGCTTTATTAAAACTTTCATTCCCATGGCTTCCTAGTCTCAATTTGGTGTTCAAGATTTACACAGTCACAGACTAACAGAATTTGACTAGAAAGAAAACACAGACTTCATCCAGTTTTGTCCTTCAGGAAACTCTGCCTGGAAATCCTGGATTGGGTTTAGTGTTCTCCTCTGTACCCACGTATACTGAAATCAAGAAACAAAACAGTCCTCAGCAAATTCATCTACAGTTCTAGTAGCATTTTTTAACATATATTAGGCTAGTCTGGTACTGCTTATACTCTAATTTGAATCCACTAATCATTTTTGCTTAATTCTTCTGATGATTATCTCCATAAGGTCTAAATCAGAGGTTTCATTTTAAGGTACACAGGTGAGGATATAGGCATTAGGCTAGGGCCTCTCAAATTACAGAATGAGGAGTTTTCTCTGCAGCTCCCAGCATTCACACTGGAATCCCATCTAGTATTTGATTCTTCACCATGGGCATGTATCACTTCTTAAACATTTCCAATATACCTAAATATACTAAATGAAACTTACAATGAATGTAAGGATAGATATCCACTACCATTACTAAGACTTACAAATGTGCTCAGATGATAAATGGAACACAACACAGACCTCTCCTGTATAGGCTAATAGTCTGTGTACTCCCATAATGACAACAGAGGTTCTCCAACCAGCGGCAAGTCTCAGACTCACAGCTCTATACATTGCTGGATACATTCTACATTGCCATCCCTCCATTTGGTTATGAAATCTTATTATTTTGAAATATATATATATTTCCCATTGTTATAATCTAGTCATGAGTCTAATCCCTCAAAACTCTGATTCTTATTTTGGTGCCAACTATCTTTCATTAAAATTCCAAATTCACTTTGTTTGGGGGGAGTGGATGGTGAGGAGATTCTGATGGAGACATGAAGCATTAGACACTGTTTTTCATTAGTTTCTTGTGAATATTTTAGTACAACCCCTACCCCTGCTGCTTATGTTTGCAACACAGAAGCTGTCATCTATGATTCTTAACTATTGCCTGCATCACCCTGCCCTTGAAAAGTGAATTTAATATCCTCCCTAGCAGGTCAACAAGTTTATTGCAGAGTTATTTTTCACAGGTTTCCAAAGGAAACTTGCCAGAAGCTAGCTATTCTTAACCTAGAATGTGGCTGAGAAGCCAAAACCCAGTCTTGAATACCACATACAGTTAACTAAATTGTATCTCCCACTCCCCGCCAGCAACAAAAGATAAGTCATCTGGAACCTCAGAAGGTGACCATATCTTTATGGACATAATTAACACAAGGGCTTCAAAAAACGATTGTTCTGGATTAGGGTAGACCCTGAATTTAATAACAACTATCCTTATAAGAGACAGAAAAGGAGAAGGTGGATACACAGAGAAAAACAAGGAAGAAGGCCAAAAGAAACTGGAGGTAACAATTGGAGTTAAGCTACCACAACCCAAGGAACCCCAGGAGCCACCAGCCTGAAAGAAGTGAGGAAGGATCCTCCCAAAGAGACTTTGGAAGAAGCATGGCCCAGCCAACACCTTGATTTCAGATTTCTGGCCCCCAGAACTCCTAGAGAATAAATTTCTGTTATTTAAGAAATCAAGTCTGTGGTAATTTGTTACAGCAGCACTAGGAATCCAACCAACGGTCCCCAATCTTTTTGGCACCAGGGACTGGTGCTCCTATGAGAATCTAATGCCTGATGATGATCTGAGGTGGAGCTGAGGTGGTGATGCTAGCGCTTAGGAGTGGCTGCAAATACAGATGAAGCTTCACTTGCTTGCCTGCCACTCACCTCCTATTGTGCGACCCAGTTTCTAATAGGCCACAGACTGGTACTGGTCTGTGGCCTAGAGTTTGGGAACCCCTGAAATATATCGTCTAAACCACGAGTAACTAAACTTTTTCTGTAAATGGACAGATAGAAAATATTTTAGGCTTGCCAGCCATAGTCTTTGTCACAACTATATGACTATGTTCCAATAAAACTTTATTTACAAAAACTAGCAGCAGTCTACATTTCACTCATGAGCTACAGTTTGCTCACCATATCATCTAAATAATATCCAGTCATCTAAATGACACATGTCATTCAAATGATCTATATCACATCTATTCATTTTTCATATCCTTTTTCTTTCCAATTTACAATTAATCTCTGGAAGATAAAAAACTCCATTTATCCAAATCCTATAGTTTTATTTCCAGAATTTAATCTTGAGATACATTTCAAGTTTTTTTCTTAAAAATCCTCCACAAATCAACAGGGAGTGGGACCAAGGGTCTGATAACCCTTCTCTGATTCTCTGAGGTAAACGGGTACAGTAAGGCAGCAGCAAACCTCCCTAACATCTCTCATATCTATATATCTTTCAGCAAGTAAGAGCTAAATACGTTTAAGAGATTTCTTCCTGGACATGAGAACTTGATTCCTCGAACTTGCCAATGCCTACTAATTTTCCTTTGATAAGTACCTTCATGTGTCTAGAACCACTATCCCTAAGAACCCTTTATTATCTAATTAATTTGAAGTGTGTTTTCTCTTATTTCGTTATCACATTCTCTTACTTCATTTATTTGATCTTGACTTCCTCCCTATGCTATCACACACATTTGTTCCCAAATTATTTCCTTCTTTTTTCCCTAAGCATCTTTGATTTTATCAAGCCAGTATATACTAAAATGCCTAAAGCTGTTTTACTCTCTTCAGCATATATATTTGTAGTAACACTCCTTAGATAGAAAAATAAACACAACACATACCCTGCACACCACAGCAACAGTTCTTCTGTATCCATACTGTTAGAATCGCTAGATGAATACTGCTTTATGCATCTTTCTGCAATGCAGCTGTTAATTCCGGAAATTTCCACAGTAAATGCAGTCTGCCAGTTGTCATGGAAACAGCCTGCTTCCTGGCACTACTGACAAAATAAGTGTCTTTGCTAAGATCTAAGATGAGGCAAAAGGAAAAAAAACTGAAAAAAGAAAGATGTCGAGAATTTCTCTAAATATAAATTTTCAAATTCTGATATCCATGTTCAGTGAACAGAAGGTATTAACTATGCAAATCTGCAGTATTTTGAAGTAGTACTGATTTATGAAGTAGAAAGCAATTTTTTATCACCAAGGAAAAAAGTAAAATCAGAGAGATAAGATAAACATTCGTGTTTCACCTTGCTGCTATTGATGGCATATTCCCTTAGAACTAAGAGTATTCATCTGGACTCAGAGTTCACCATTAGAATAGTTTTCCTGGGTTGTGTTTCTTACAGAAGTTAGAAAAGCTGTCCTAAAAGAACAGGTTACAAGTTTTCCTGAAATCCTTTTCCCATTCGGGCTCCAGTCTCCACTGGTGGCTAAAACCATCTACTCAAGTATGTAAGAAAGGAGAATAGTTGAAAGTGTATCTCAGGAGTTGTCACCAGCAAAGCAGCCTTCTTAAGTACTTACTCTCAGAACATCAGACATAGTTAACCATAATTCCCTCCCACCTGCCCTCTGAAACAATGGTCAGTTTCTATGACATTGCACTTTACTCATCTGTTCCCTACTTCTCAAGTGTCTTGTCTTTGCCAGTTGCTCCTATTCTACCTAACCTCTAAATGTTAGATTTCCTCAGGGCTCAGCCCAGCACCCAATTCTCTCATCAAGATACACTCTCTTCCTAGACAATGTTATGTATACGCTGACAACTCTCAACCTTTCATCTCTAATCTACACCCTCTCCTCTGGGTAGCTGAACTCTTGATCTTCTATGCTCCTTCATCTACAGATGCTCCAAATCCAGTGGTCCCCATCTAAGTAATGGCAACTGAACCCAGCATCCAACCAGAAATTCTTGAAGTCACTATGAACACCTACCCCTCTTTCCTACCCACATTCAAACTAGTACCAGTTTTTGATAATGCTACCTTCAAAATTTCTTTGGAATCTGTCCATTTCCCTCTACCTCCACTGTCATCAACCTAAAATCATTCATTGTCATCCATTATGTTTTAGCTACAATAGCATAGCCTTACTAGGACTCCCCAGTTCCATTCTTGCCTCCCTCCAATATATATTCCACACAGCAGCCAGAATAATTTTAGAATGTAAACCAAATCTTGTCACTTGCCTGCTTATAACCCTTCCAGGCCTTCCCTCAACACTTCGGATATCATCCCAAGTCTTTACCTTTTACAAGGCTATACATTATCTGGCCCATGACTACCTCTCCACATTTATTTTAAATGCATTTTTCTCCTCAATCACTATCTCATCAAGCTGGCATTCATTCAATTCCATGAAAAGCTGAATCCTTCCCACCTTGTTATCTTGCAACTTCAAATACATGCTATTCTCTCCACTTGGAACACTCTTATCAGTCTCTTCCCCAAATCTACCAAAAATCTACACAGGCTTTGAACCCTTCAATGCATACCTCTTCACCATCTCCACTTCTTTTTTATTCACTCATAGCATCTGGTTCTTTTATTTCAATAGTATGTATATTTATAATTATTTGCTTTTTACTTATTTACATTTTAATTATTTATGCTTACATATAAAATATATAATTTAAAAATATATACATATGTAGCTCAATGTCTGTGTCTACCATTAACTTTAATCTTGAAGTAGCAATCACAACTTTTCCAACATGAAATATCCTGTGCCTACCATAGTACCTAATAGAAGGTAGGTATTTAACAAACATTTGCTGAATGCATGATAGAATGTGTATTGGGTTGTTTTAGTTTCTGACAGCAATCAGTTGCTCAGAAAGCTTTGATGTAATCCCTGAACTCTATGTGATAGCCTTATATCCATCCATTCCCCAACCCTACCCCCTTTCAAACTCCAAGATAAGGAGTAACACACCTCTTATATTTGACTTCGACAGTTCCTCAGGAGAGAGGCAACAGTAACCACATGTGTGAACTCACAATGGTCTCTGTACCAGTTCTCAACCACAGACAATTTTGTACCTCATGAGTTATTTGAAAATATGTGGGGACAATTTTGGTTTTACAGCTGGGGGAAGAGAAGGCTACTGGTATCTAGTGGGTAGAGTCCAGAAATGCTGCTAAACACCCAACAATGCACAGGGCAGTTCCCTGTCACAAAGAATTATCCAGCCTAAAATGTCAACAGTGCCAAGTTTGAGACAAAGCTACTTCTGGTCTCCTAAGACAGAATTGTTAAAATCTGTCACTCTATGAAGAACAAACAAAAATACATTTCACCAGCACAAAGGTGTTCTTTACAACATTGTTTTTAAAAATGAAAATGATCTAATGGCTATCAGTAGGCATCTAGATAAACAGATAATACCCCATGCAATATAATGAAAGATATATAACTCACTGAAAAAGAATAAGATATATGCTAATTTAGAAGTATCTTCAAGATGTACTAAGTGAAAAAAAAATCAAGCTGCAAAGCATGTATAATAAAACTTATTTTTGTACAAATATTTTCAAGGATTCACATAAATTATTATAATTATGATATCTGAATAAGTTTTTCTGCAAGGACATTTCACATTTTTAGGGTTTATCTTTAGAGAGAACTATTAAGGGCATGAAGCTTACTTTTTATTTTATAACTTTCTGTACCAACTGAATTCTCTTACCAGAAGCATGTACTAATTTTTTAAAGGGTAACATGAACTATCTAGATGGTAAGATTATGGGCCATTTTGGTTTTCTTCCTTATACTTCTCTGTATTAGCAAGAAAGGGATGTGGGGAGGCAGCAAGGAAGAGGGAGGAAATGAAAGGGAAAGGCAAAGTGAGAGGAAAGGAAAAGAGGGTGGGAAGGAGGAAAAGAGAGAGGGAGACAGGCTAGTAATTCTTTTTAAATAAAAACACAGTAAAGACAACATGACACCACACTTTTCCTAGGGGAATCCAACTACTTAGAGGTATACCATACCTGATGTGACTCGACAGATGTTCTAGATTAATCTTCGAAGATACTTGATAAACTTCTTAAGAACTTTACTCTAAGTTTCTTTCAAACATCATCACAAGGCAAACTAAATAGGCAAAATATGTCACAATACTGTTCTAAGGCATAAGAGCTGAATTCAATAAAAACAGTGTTCGTATACTTATCAAGAGACTGTTGAAACACACAGGTGCTGTGAGAACAAGGACAAAAATCCACAAGTACGATTCAGTGAGAGTAAATAATATACTTATAATTTTTATTGTTACTGTTCTGGCTTTTTTAAAGTATCATGTTCATATAGCGAAATGCACAAATCATAAATATATAGTTGGATGAATTAACAAATGCATATGCCCTTATTTCTCATACTTCTAACAAGTTAAAGAACATTCCGTCACCCTGTTAAGTTCTCTTGTGTCATTCTTATCAGTCCCCTCCAGAGACAAATAAAGTTTTGATCTTGATCACAACAGACTAGTTTTGCCTACTTTAGAATTTCACATAGATAGAATCAAGCAGTGTGTTCTCTTATGTCTGGCTTCTGCTCAGCATTTCTGGAGATTCATCAATGTGATTATGGGCATTGGTACTTTGTTCTTTTTTATTGTTGAGGACTATTTCATTGAATAATATACAGTCGGCTATCCATATCTGCAGTTCCTCATCCACAGATTCAACCAACCACATATCGAAAATATTTGAAAAAAGAAAAAGCTACATTGCTGCTGACATGTACTATGTAGTTAGGCCTACAATGGTTGGGTCTGTACTGAACATGTACATACTTTGTTCTTGTCATTATTCCCTAAATATAGTATAACTACTACTTACACAGCATTTACATTAGGTATTATAATTAACCTAAGGGTGATTTAAAGTATATGGGATAATATGCATGTTATATGTAAATACTGCACCATTTTATATATGGAATATATGAGCATCCCCAGATTTTGGTATCCTTATGGGTCCTAGAACCAATTCTTCCAGGATACCGAAGGATGACTGTACAACGATTTATTTATCCATTCTTCCACCACTGGACATCTGGGTTGTTTCTAGTTTGAAGGCTCTTATAAAGTGTTTATGAACATTCATACGCAAGTCTTTCTGAGGACATTTTCATCTTTTGTAATTAACAAAGAAGAAAATTGCTGGGTAATGGGGTAGATGTATGTTTAACTTTATAAGAAACTATCAAAGAGTTTTCTAAAGTGGTGGTACCATTTTCTACTTCCCCAATAATATATGAGAATTTTAGTTACACCATTTATTTGCCAAAATAGTGTGTGGTTTTTCAAATTTTATCCATTCTAGTGGGTGTGCAATGCTGTGAGCTAATAAGAAAGAAAAGAAAAGAAAAGAAAGAAAAGAAAAGAAAAGAAAAGAAAGAA